GCTCTAGTAGCGGCTTGTAGAGAGACTTCTGGTTCCAGGAGGATGATCGTAAGAACCCGTTGGATCACACAACACTAGCTGGCCAGCAACTTTCTTAATTAATTGAGTAGGTTGTCGAATCACCTGAGATGCTTTCTGTAGCGAGTCTATATATCAAGTCCCTGTTGTTCTGCTGCTGTTCCAGCGACCTACCAAATATATTGATACGAGGAGCGCTCCATATTTTTACTCAGTATAGGAAACACAGCCTAATTTCGCGTTGAATACAAATTTTGCAAATTGAGTGAAAATCATCAATAGACAATTACACAAAGAGAAAAATGAAAAAATAAAAATAAAAAAAAAGAAAACTGGTGAAGACGGAACAATTGTAAATAGCTTAAATCCTTTTGATATATGGCAAAAGCATGAAATGTTCTGATGTCATATGCGATAGTTTAAATTTAAATGAATACATATACATGAGTTTGGGTTTGAAAATAGCTCTCACAGCTAAACTCCAACTCTACAACATTTCTATATAATATTATTCAATTTGAGTTTTTACTGTGACGAATAAAGACATATTATTACTATTATTATTATCAGCTGAGAGAATATATAGGTGTTTTCAGATTGTGGAAGGTTATTCACTAAAAAAATGAGTGAGAAATATCAGGTATTTCACAAAAAAATATGTTTTGAAGATTATTGAATATTGTTTTTCGATTTATCTTCAGAATTCGCAAAACAATATTTTTATATTGTTTCAAAAGTTTATTTATTTTCACAGATCCAGTTCTGCATCATCTTCTGGCACAACTTCCAAGTCCTATTCAAAGAATGTGATTATCCAAAGTTTATCAACTTTTTATTGGTTACTCAAGCTGGATACTTTCTCTATTTGTTCGGCTGTTTCTACGTGAATCAATATTTGAAGAGTAAAAATGAAAAAAAATCTGCTCTAGAAAATAAGTCAAGTACAAGAGTACAAAATGGAACAATGGAAACTACTTCAAGCGAAGAAGAGAAAACGAGGCTTACGCAAATGAATAACAACAACGTTATTTCAAAAAATGTAAAAAGTCTGTGAAGTGATT